GCTTGTCATACTAGCTATTCAGGTGGCTGAGATCTGAGGACTGAGGTTCAAAGCCAGCCCAGGTTCAAAGCCAGTCCCTGAAACTCCTATTTCCACTTAAGCAAAAAAGCTGAACATGAAGCTGTGGTTCAAGTAGTGTAGTGCCCAGCAAAAAAGCAAAAGGATAGCACCCAGGCCATGAGTTCAAGCCCATTACCAACACACTCAATATACACACACACATACACTCAAGACCTTGGCATCCTAGCAGAAGGCTCCTCCCCCAGGGTGCTGTGTTAGCACTCTGCCTTCAGGAAGGTGTCCCTTCCCCCTCCCTAATTATTGGCTCCTATGCCTCTGAACTTCTTCCTTTGAAGCATTTATAACAACTGTAATTAAAAGAGTATTTATGTAGTTATTAGTTTAATGTCTGCCTGGAAGCGAGACTGCATACTCCAGAAGGGGGGACCCCACGGCCGTGGTTACAGCAGACAGCCGAGGTCCGCAAAAGGCTGGTCCGCGTGCCGGAGCAGAAGCTCAGGTCCTGCAGGACAGCACTGAGCAGCCTGGAGGAAAGTGGCATGGCTCAGCTTTACAATCCCCACCAGAGTCAAAGCAGAGGGTGGGCTCAGCCCGTGCAAAGGGCCCTGGATGTCACCCCAGCCCTATTCGGTTTCCCCAGGAGACACCTCTAGCCACCTGACCAGCCTCCCTCCACTGCAAGGACTATGGCTTTCCTCTCGCTTCTGCCACCCTTCCAGAAGAACCCAAAGCGTCCATGCCTGATCCCTTGGCACAGCATTCGGGAGAGGCCAAGTCTGAAGTCTCCTGGGTTCAGGTACCAGCTCCGTGCCCTTGGACAGATGACTTAACTCCTCTGTGCTCTCTTCCCAGGCTGTCAAACGAAGGGCGCGGAGGACCAGGGAGCTGATATATGCACTCACATCCAGCATTTACCATAACCCAGGCCTGGGATCTAAAATTCTATCATTCTCCCAGATCTGAGTCCAATTCCAACCCGCTCTATTGTTTGTTGGAACCTCCACCCTCTCTCCATCCTCTCTTCCCAGCCCCCTCCCGCCTCACCTGTCTAGAGCTTGTTTGAAACAATGAATCACCGAACAACTCTGCGGCAGCCATCAATCATCTGCCTGTCCCTGTCTCTGCGCTTCTTTTCTGGGCTCCTCACGAGAGGAAAAGCTCGCTTCTAATGTCCAGTACATCCACTCCACAAGTATTTATGGAGACCCCACCGAGGGTTAGACCAAGAGAGCTTAGCCATGGACAGAGCCAAACACAAAAGACACAGGCAAGACCTCCACACTCCCCGAAAACGAACGTTCTAGTACATCGAATCCACAGATGCACATCTGTGTGGAGCTCTAGTCCTTCCTTAGGTCCATATTTTTTCTTCTCTGTCCAATCCTAAATAAACCACATATAAGTACCAAGTGTGGGGGGGCGGGGCTGGGAAGGTGGCTTGGTGGTAGAGCGCTTGCCTTGCATGCATGAGGCCCTGGGTTCAATTCCTCGGCACCACATAAGCAAAGAAAGCCGGAAGCAGTGCTGTGGCTCAAGTGGTAGAGTGCTCACTTTGAGCGGAAGAGCTGAAGGACAGCGCCCAGGCCTGAGGAGTTCAGGCCCCTCGACCACCACTACCACCACCAACAACAAAAAGTATCAAGTATGAAGTAGTGGAGATCCAAAAAACAAAAGGGAGTAAGGGTAAGTTAGGACCAGAGGCATGGCTCAATGGTAGGGCACCTGCCCAGCAGAGTCAAGGTCCTGAGTTCAATCCCTAGTACCACCGAAAATAAAACAAGATGGTAATTTAGGACATCCTGATGACTAAACTTCCACCCTGCTGAACTGCTGGACTTTGAAGTCAGTATTAAAAATAGCCAGTTCCCTTAATAATCCCAGTGCCTGTCAAACCTCCCAGAGCAGTGCGTAGAAAATAAGACAGTGTACACCGGCTCCTACAGAGGAGCCCAAAGCTCCTCTGAACTGAGGGCCGAGGCACCACCATCGACCAAGGCGTCTGGAGTTCAGATTCCTTAGTTCTCCAAACCAAGACCTACTTGGCACAGCTTATGGGGAGTCAGAGGGATGTGGGGGTCACCAAGCTACAGAAAGGATCAGCACTGGTGGGAGCAGCGAACCTTCGCCTGCATCCTCCAAGGGGCAGCGGGCCCTCTTCCTCGTGTTTATCTATATACTCCAGTCTAAACCGAGGGTAAACCAGAGCCGGGTGTGGTGGTATCGGACTGTAACCCCAGGCCCTTGGACACTGAAGCAGGAGAATGGAGAGTTCAAGGCCAGCCTGGGCTTGACAGTGAGACTGGGGGAGGGGGGGAGTTATCCTATTTCCAAGTGCAGTCTTGCTAGAAACATCTTTGGGCCACAAAACATAAGTTGTGCAGCATCTCTGGTAGTCCTGTGACTCTGCCTGCCTCCGACTCAACAGCCATTCTAGACCTTTCCCCACTCCTCACCTCTGAACTGAGAAGCCAGGGGAGAA